TAAATTGAGACAGCAGAGCACAAAGCTCTGATCCTACACACAGATTTTATTTAGGTAGTCAATATAAATATGTATGACTGCTATTTTTGATCTCTTTAGTTTCATGCACAATTAATATACTGGTGGGCAACCTCCTTGCTTTCATTCCGAAAGTTACCTCGTTGCTAACCAGCTAGCCCGGGGCTTTGATGTCTTTCATCTGTGGAGGCTGACTCATTGGCCAGCTTTCAGTTCTCAATATTGCTTAGCAGGAAGGACTTCTTCCTGCAGGTGCAGACTTCAATATCAGCATCTCTCCTTTACAAAGAGTGAGGAGCCCGAGGAGGCGCTCAGTGTACAGCTGCATCTCTACATCAAAAGGAGCCAGATGAGATGTTTTGGGGATCTGACCAGGATGTCTCCTGGATGCTTCCCAGGTAAGGTGCTTTGGGCCTGTCCTACTGGGAGAACAAGCCTTGGCAGACATGCTGGAAAGATTCAAGCTCTCAGCTGGCTTGTGAATGCCCCTACTTCTCCCTGGCAGAGCTGGAGGAGATGGCCGAGGAGGTCTTAGCATCTCTGCTTAGAATACTGTGACCTACGCCCGGATAAATGGTAGAAGATGGATGGATGCATGAATGGAAGGGCTATCATATAAAGGGAGGAGTTTGAGTTTACACACATGAGCTGATGGACAATTAATGGTCTAGTGAGGAACATACTGAGCCTTAAGCTGATGATATTACCCAGTTATTCAATTTTGCAAAAAACTTCAAATGAAATATTTGAAGGGGAGAAACTTTATAAACAGACATCTTTAAACTCTCACAAATTATTTTACCTAATATTGCTGAAGTTTGTTTTTCTTTTGGCTAAATTCACACAGTAGAGGAAAGCCTAAAACTTCAGGGTGGAACATGGTTTTGGGATAACATGACTAAGATTTGACCACAAAGGCTTTGTGTATCTATCCATCATTCCTTAACTCATCGTCCATTTAACAATGTCATCTTTTCACATTAATCTCTAAATGTGTGTATTGTTATGTAATTTTCTGTTTTGCATAAATTGTAAATGTATGTATCAGAGTTTTTCTATCATTGTGATGTATTTTAAAAAACAGACAAAAGTGTGTCACAAAGCTGTACACAAAGGTGACAAAGCACTGCCAATTTGGTCCGTGTTGTCTTGCTGTGTGCCCGCCTTTCCTCTGATCTCCTTCAGTTCAGTGGCATGCATGTGGCACAGTTCTTCAGCTGAGCCTCACAAATCGTCTGCCGCCACGTCAGTCAAGCCTTGTTTACAGATATCCAACATCCTTTCCTTCTCGCCTGGCTGACTCGCTGCAAAGTCGGTCGGGGATGTGTGATGTACATCATCGGTAATCAGATAAGTTGGGTACCATCCTCCTGCTTTCTCTCCAAAACAACATGTCCACTGAACTGAAAGCCAGAGTGCAACTGTCACATTAGCAGCCAGAGAGTACTCACTCCACTGCATGCCTGGTAAACAAACCCCGAAAGATGTTTTGCATGACAGACAGACTGACGGCTCTTTCAGGCGAGTCCAGAGTGTCGCCGAAAAGACCCGCCACACTCTCCTCTCTGTTGTCAGTTGAAACTCTTTAACCAATTAAAATGGCAGCGCAGGGCGCATATTTGAATATGCATGAACAGAATGTTGCATTTATGAAAAAAGGGGGCTGAATCTGCTAATTATGTGTTTAACAGTCTATCGCCGAGCTGTTTCACCTTATATTTAATTTGCACATGAAATGTCCCCTCTCATGACGGCAACCTGCATTTTGATCTCACATCGATTCGTGCAAGCTTTCAAGTGTGCTGCTTTAATGAGGCATTTCATACTCACTGAAAGGGACTGACTAAAAGAATTGCGATAAAACCTCCGTGATCCCAACTAACTGTTGTTTGTCACTTTTTATAATGAGCCACAGCCTCGTTAGATTTCCTTTTCCTGTAGATCATAATGGAGTCGTCACAGTTTTTCACCTCCCCACAGCTATGTTCTCCTGTGGAGGCGATGCTAGGCGGTTAGAATTTACCACTTGATGAGTTTTGCTCTGAGCACTCTGGCAAAGTTGGACAATTATTTTTGAATCCCTGGGCTCTTTGTGTAGCAAATGTGATGGAAAAGGCCAATTATGGAGCTCGATTTATTAAAATGTTACAAAGCAGTGTTTGCGATGTTGCTGGAAACGTCGTTAGGAAACATAGGAAATGGTTAAAAATGACTGACACATGTGGCTAAGGTCAAGAAAGTAGTTTGTAACCAATTAATACGTTCATTTATTGCACCAAATTGCAGTTAACCAAAATGTTACTAAATGTTTACAGTGTCAGCGCTTCTACTGCCGGCCTCTCCGTATCCCAGCTGGAATTCCAGTAGCCTTCTCTTCTGTTTCTGAGGTACGGAGAAAAAATTCCAGTCAGATCCCGTGCCGCTTGCCAAAAACACTGCTCATCCAAAGTCATTTGCAGCAAAGTCCATTATCATCATCACTTGTGGTGATGAATTCCCTATGATGGTGGCAGGCCCGCAGCAGCCTCCACTCATAATGACATTCTGCTCTTGTTGGCAGTCACTCCCCGTCAGATGGCTCATTCCCAACAGCCAGCATGTCAGACAGTGCACACACACAATACTGGGTTGGGCCTTTACACCGTAAATGAGGGACAACAGGACTGTTGCTTGAAAGGCAGACTTCATTTCTGGTGTTCTATTCTAGTCAGCATGTTGTTTTTAATGTAAACATCTGTGACATCCTGCTATAAATATGTTTAGCTCTTTTGGATTTGGGGGGCTTTTACACTTGTTTATGTAAAAATACAGCAATGGGCAAGTATTAAAGGAGCTACCTATACATAGGGCGAGAGACGGGGTACATCCTGGGCAAGTCGGCAATCCATCACGAGACCAAAGGTATATCAGGACACTGCCACTGCTTTCAGTGCTGTTGTTCCATTTTCTTTCCATTCTGAAAGGAACCCAAATATAAAAATTCTATGTATTTCAAACTGGGGCGTGATTATGGCAGACATGTTAAACTCACAGGTGGATGCTGAAGGCTACTTGACAGTCTGAAGCATAAAGAGAGGCAGCGTGGAGGTAAAAGGGAGAGATGGCGATGAGCTTCCCTGATTTCACTGATAGACTAAATTAAGGTCGATGCCCCATGAAGAGAAATGGTAGAGGTTCTGCAAAGCCAATAATATTTAAAGCACCATGCGACTAAGTCATCACTTTAGAAATAAAACAGCTCCGTGGTCACAGCGAGTCTGCTCACTCTGGCAGCACAACAACTCAGGCAAAGACGTGGAACCAGCTGCTGACTGGCTCCCTCCAAAGAGAAATACTCAGAAAGCACATCTTTAAGCTGAGGCCTTATGCAATCACATTTCTAAGTATCTACAAAACTGGGTCCTCAAAGGTGTGTGAGCACACGATGGTTATTCCTGAATATACATTGTGGATTGTTATTAAAAAGTGAGTCTGCTAATTATTGTTAAGTAAAAAAACATGAATCTGAATCACCCCAAATTAATCACAAAATCTTGCATGGGCTGTACCACACACACACCAAAGCATAATATCTGTGAGGTATACCTGTATCATTACACCTACATATAAAATCAACTGCTCTCCAGCTGTTATGAAGATGGGAACATGTTGGGCTGTAACAACTGTGAATGTGGACATTTTAACATGAAAAAAAACATTAGGGGGAGTTACTCGCTTTTTGAGTCAGCCTCGTGTGTTCATTGGAGGAACTGCAGTTTTTGGGACTTCATTTTTCAGCCCTGAACTTTGCCACTTGCCTGTAACATACAGTTAATGTGTAATGCCCACGACCTCAAATTAATTGAGCGTGATTAAAGTGTGCAATATGATGAGAAGAAATTATAGTCCCCTTCCCTCTTTGGAGTGATAATAACTGAGATCGAATCATAAAGGTCACGAGCACAATGAGTTCTGGGACCACCCCTTTCTTCAAAGAACATAAAAAATGTGCAACAGCATATTTGCACATCAAATGCCAAGAGCATATAAGTCAAAATAAAAATAATAGAAAAGAATCGTTTGTTTCATGGGTTTTTGTAAACGTGTTCCTTGTTCTGTTGTTGGTGTAGTGAATTTTAAGAGGTCTGTGGTAGTGAGCGCTCTGTTTATACTTTCATTTAGGCATACTAAATTGATGTGTTATTATCAAGAATTTGCTTTGAATTTCTCAATTCAAACACTTAACCGTGTGTTAAGTGTTTGAATTATAGTTGTTACATTTACATTTGTTTATGTATTTAACATTTCTGATGTCATCAAAACTGTAACATTGATAAAAACACCAAAATAGAATCTTAAAAAGATACTTTGTTAGGTCAATTAAAAGAAAATTGATCAAAATGAACTAAATACTGTCTACAAGAAATGACAATGTTGTCTTTGATTCTATTGTTGCAGCGGGGGTCAACCCCCCTTAGGTGGTCTGGGGACCGCGCTAGTATTACAGTAGAGGCAGCTTTTGGGCTATTGGCCCTCCTTCTGGAGAACTTTAATCGGTGCCCATAGAATGATGCCTGACCTTCATTTACATGTCAGAAATATGCATATCATGGTGCTTAAGTTCTTTAAACTGGCTTTGTGGTAGTTGCTGCTAGAGTACATGTCACCAGGACCACACACATAAACACATACAGACAGAGTTACAAGGTGAGAACAATACCAGCCGCGCTGTCATGAACGGTAAAGATTGAACTGTAAGATACAATAGGAAACCCTGAGAGGTGCAAAGCAAGATGGCTGAAGGTGACTCTAAGCCTGAGCTTATCGGGGGATTCAGTAAACAAGAGGCCTGGCAAGCATTGCACTCGGCTGTTGACAACCGGTGATGGTGACCAGGTGGGATATGTTATCCTAACAGTCTGGAACTCTTGTGAATTATTTGCTGATAGATATAAACAGCTGTTATTCTTGGTAATGGAAAGCAATTAGAAACATCTGCATACTTGGCTGTGAGCGATGCCTCCGAATGGCGGCCGTTGCTCCCAGGTGCCGCTGGGAAATAATTACATCATCGGGACGGGGGCCGGGGCTGCTGAGGACTGCTAGTGATCTGTGAAGAGCGAGGAAGAGAGCCCAAAGAGGGACACACACAAAAAATTATATTAGTCAAACTTTTAAAGATGTGCAAGTTTGATCATTCTTTACGCTTAAAGTCACAGACCAGTCAGCAGTTAACCTTCTTTATTTCATTCATTTAATTTGGGGATGACTGATGCTAGTAGTGAGAACAAAAAGTGTTAGCCACATCACCTGTTCTGCTTTTGTACTGTGTAGGGAAGTATTGAAACACCCCAAAAATAACCTCTGCAACAATATATGACACACATTCTTACTTATCCTCATAAGGCTAACAGAGGTTACTGTGTGAAAGTGGCAGGAAGGATGAAGTCACTCCCCAAGACATTTTGAACAGTCCACTGCTCAACCGGCCAAAAGGATTTTAGATGATTCTTTCCATGTGCTGAACTCTGAGTATCTGGTAATGAACTCCTGGAGATATAGGCTCCCTTTGTGTAAGCTTAAGCATTTAAACATTCATTTTTCAGTAAAAATGAACAGTTAATACAGGATAGACACAGCAGTAGAGGCGCTGATGTAACTGCACTTTTTTTCTTTTAATTTTAGGTTTGTACTTAAAAACGAGACTTAAAGTATACTGCAAAAAAGATGGGTGCTCAAAAATGCTTAAGGAATAAAAATATCTCCAAATGATCTTCATATCCTACATGTTATTTAGTGACAAAATGAATTGAGACAGCACTGGCAGTGTCAGCACGACAGGTGCAACCTGACAAACCTGATCAACATTTCTCAGAGAGCATCTGCAGCCACATTAAATACACACCGTTTAGTCGTTTCAGTATCACCAACCTTAAAGATAGGCGCAAATGAAAAAGTTATACATTTTGGACTCACAAAGACTTGGGGATGATCCAAAATATTCTCACTTTGTAAAGCTGTCCTCTCACCAAATGTCTGAAATTCGGTCTTCGTTGGACAGAAGCACAAGTACACGAGCACACTTATAAACACATACACCCACAGATGAAGACAGCAGACATTTGTTATGGTGATAATTAATTCTGTTTTCCCAGCAACATAAAAGATCTCTGTCTTTCTGATATTTTCTTGAGTTTGAAGTTGAGCTGAATGTTGCCAAGTGAAACTCTTCGACACTCTGGAACTCCAGAGGCGTTGGCCGACACCATGACACATGGAGTATGAAACATATGTGAGAATACACAAACAAACAAATCAGCCTAAAATAATGACTTTAACTTGTTTAATTACATGTAAATGTTTCATGTCGTTCTGTTACATAAATACAATGTAAAATATTGCATTTAAGGGAATCTGGTCAAATCAAATTTGACTGCTGTACATTCACAGTTCACAAGTACATTCTCCTTAATGACTAATTATCTGAATAAATAAACCTTTCATTAGTTTATACTTCAGTTACATTTTATTCAAAATTACTGCTTCATGTTTATTGAGGGTGAAACCATCGTTTTTGATTGTGCCCAGCGCGCAACATCCTGAAAATGTCAAATAGTTTAAAACTAGATCATCTTTATTGTCCTCAATGTATTAAGAGCAAGCCAATCAAATCTGGAGACTGGTTTTACCTTTTTACTGATGATTTTTAATCCATTTAGGAGAAACATTACATATCTGTTTTTGATCAACATCTGAGCTAGATTCCCGCTCTCTTATTTTGAAAGTTCAGTTGCTACCGAGCAGCTAGCCTCAGTGCTTCCTATCTCAGGTCTCTGGCTTGCAAGCTAGGTTTATATTGTGATGGTTTTCAAATTCATTCACCTGCGTTTTCAGAGAATATCTCATCAGTTAGCCGGCTGGATTTCCACTCCGCTGCCTTGGACTGTGCCTCACAACGGCCTTGCTGCTCTGCAGACCTGGGATTGTTAGGCCTCCTCGAAGTCTACAGCAGCAGAAGAGCTGGTTCAGGTGTCACTGCTTTGTAAGTCTTATTTGCAAAACTATGAGAGAATGAGGTCCATAGCAAACACCTCTAGCTAGCCTCACAAGTCTGCCACAACTATGCAAATTTATTTGAGGTGCATTTATTTGAGGTGAGGGATAATCTTCAAAGAATAGTCCAACAGTCCAACAACAAATAGTATTTGTGATTGATGCACCTGAAATTAGTTCCTTCCCCTGTTTTGCAGAGTATATGCATGTGCTCATATCTCCACCACAAACAATCTAAATCTGTGAGAAACACTGATTTTGTTTTTGATGACCTCACAAACCAGTCCAAACTGGGTTTCCTTGTTCTACCTGTTTCTTTGACATGCAACTAAGGTCTTTATATCAGATGACATGTGAGGTCACTGATATTGGCAGTATGCTCTTGACTGTAATTATGCAGAAATATTTTCTTCAGGCTTGGAGACTGGGTGTCTTGTCAGCTTTGGTATCCACAGGCAATTATGGTCCCATCTATAAAAATACCATCTCCCCAACACCTTTAGCACTCAAGCAGCCCCATATCCTCACACTCCTACCTCCAGGACTATGCCTTCTCTGTGGTAGTCCTGGCCAGGTTCACGGCAAACATGCTGGACTCCATCTGAGGCAAACAAATTTATCTCTGTCTCATCTGACTGGAAATGTGCTAGCAATGTGGTGTTTGCTATTCTTCTGCAAAGTTTAACTTAATTTTACACCAAGAAGTGCACACCTTAGTATCCTTTGATTGATTGATTTATTACGAAAACACTTGTTTTTGTAAACTGTTTAAAAAAAATAAAAATAAATCATTTTTTTAATGCTAAAGAAAATATGATCATTTTGACAAGATGGTTAGAAGCTGAATACTAAACCAAAAGTCAATACTGGCTTGTTAATACTCCACAGTGCACCTATCAACATCAGATACATGGGCACTAATAAAGCTGTAACTGATGTTGATCTTGATGGTGGCAAATCTATATTTTTAGCATTTCTGCTACCTCTTCAGTTAGGTTGAGGCACCAAAACATCTTGATTAGGTTTAGCCTATGTTTATCTTATATAAGAAGTCTATTGTTCCAGAGACTGTGCATCTGTCACAGGACAGAACCAGAGAATAATTGTTCCTCTCTGGTACTTCAGTAAATCTAGTTAACATTTTCTGCTACTACATGACATGCACCTCTTTCACCCATAATCACTAGGCCCTTTACTGAAAATCTCTTACAGATATGCAGTCAGTCACGCCACAGTGTCTTCCTCTAATTGTGTTGTGTATGGAGTTGCTGACCTTCTGCACCAACGTCCCCTTTTCTCTAAACAATACTGAAGCTGTGAGAACCCCGACTGTGCGATGCCTCTGAATTTACCCCTGCTAAAGCATGACTGTGACTCTCCACATAGATCAACGTACAGGCCCCCACTGAGCGTGCTCATCAGCTGTAAATACCAGCAGTCTGTGCTGCCGTGGTGAAATGAGCAGTCTGGGGGATCTGACCATGTTGTGAGGTGGCAGGTTGGGCCCGACTGTTAAAGAGTGTGTCCTGTAAGCAGAAGGTCACAGGCCTGATTGGCTCTGCAGGCAATGAGTCCTGACTGGATGTCCTTGAGCAGCATAATGACCCCTGAGGTGGCCCTAACGAGACTTCGTTCCCAATAGCAAATTTTCTGCAACACTGCAATTACACTTTTTTTTTTCCAAATGTATTTATATGTCTAGGTATATATGCATGCATTATTCTGTTTAGCAAAAGAAAATAAAAAGATTAACAAAAAGATTCCAAAAAAACCCCCAAAACTCAAAAAATCTTGCTCATTTCATCTCGCGGGAGAGTGATGAAAAACTGCTAAAATAAAGCAGATGGATGAGCAGGAGTCACCCACAAGCTTAAAAATGTTTTCCAAATTCAGCTTATCCACAAACCTGTGAGCAGATAATGTCCAGTCTGGTGGTGAAATATCACTTTGAACAAGATCTACACGAAAACAACACAGCAAAAAACAGACGGGGAAAAAATACTTTCAACTGCATTGTCTGTGAAGCAGACACGAGATAGAAGCAGCTCCAACACAAAACATTATGTTTGTGCCTTTGTTTCATTGGGCCTGTAATCCCTCGGGCAACAAACAGAAAATATCCGTCAGAACGGATGAACCTGCGGGCTGTGAGTCGCGGCTGTTGTGGTTGGATACGGTGATGCTGGCTGGCGTACCTGTCACAGAAAGCTGCAAGCGTGGTTCAAAAACGAGGTGGCTGGTGTCACACGAGTCTGCTGAGGGAGTCTGAGGAATATGAGCACAGCAGCGCACACACAGCGAGTCTGTCAGCACTTTCTCCTCCTCACTTTTGTTTTCCCTGCTTTGTACTGTGTTTTGGTTACATGTGCCCTACTCCGTTTAACTGCAAATTATACTGTTAGATTCTTTTATTTGCTCCTTATTTTGTCAGCGTCTTTTTTGTTCTTACTGTTGAGGCAATGAATGGTCCTAAATGGCTGTTTACTTGAATGTCATGTTGAAATTGTATTAATTTTTCTCGTTTGTTTATATCTATAAAGGAAATGGAGAAACTCAAAAAAATAAAGGTTGAATCATTCATTGTCTTTTGTCGACAGGCATCGACAGGCCTACGCAATAGCATCTATGACATTCAGACAAATGCTCTACATGCTTCAAATGCAAGCAAGTTTTTGCTTTGTTTCTTTTTTAAATTTAGGAAAGTGTGTATGTGCCTCCTTAAACATTTGCATGCATGCATATCCACAAGCACCACAAATTCCAAATTAAATCTGCAGCAAAAACTAGATTTGGGTTTTTAATGCATGTCATTGTGACGGGGCGTGGCCTGCGGTGCCGTGCAGAGGAGGCGGACGTACCTGCACGGCATCCGCAAGCCACGCCCCGCCACAGTCATCTTCATCCAAATTAAGATTAAGAAATTAAGAATATATTTTCTAAGAGGGGCCAGATAGGCAGGATGTGGACTCCAGGTCCAAACCAAGGGCATTCTTGGGTCAACTGAGGCAACAGTAGCTACTGCTCAGCACTCATTGAAAAATGTTATTACAATGCAGG